TTCTCTTCCCGGTTGCCATAGAATTTATCGGCATTTTTTCACGTATTACTGTGTGTATGTCATGGCAAAGAGAGTGAGAGAGAATTTTCATCGTGAAAAATGTGCGAGTAAACTATTCCGAAATGCGATACATTTTTTTTTGACTGACATTCGCTCTAGCACTCGCTGGATGTGAGTGAATTTGTGGAACTTCATTTTTGGTGCACTTTTTGCTGCTATCGTTTTTCCTCTCTTGCAATTAAGCAGGTTATCATCAACTGAAAGCGCATTCACAGTAATACAAATCCAGTCAAATGATGGGCAGAAGTCGTTTGAATAAGAGAAACCACATTTGTTTATTGATTTATCATCATTTGAAGCCCAACAGACCAGAATAGTATCGCCGTGCCAAAACATAATACCATTGAAACGTAAACAGTGTGTTTGGGCGATCGTAAACATAACATAACAAACTCCCTGGTAATCGAATATTTTTGTGAGAAAAGTTTGATGTTGTTGGTGTTCTGGATTTCATTTCGGCACGTTTCAAAATCCAATAAATGTGCTGAAAGTCAAGAATCACCAAATAACAACAAAGCAGTAGCAGCAGCAGCAACGCGAACGGCCAAAATGGGTTGTTGTGAAGCAGAAAAACTTGCACGAGCCACGTTCCATTCGCATCGCTTTTCCGTTGATTATTTACAATTTTCGAACAAGGGAACGTAACACGGACGTAACGTGTTTCCCTGATGGTGTGTTTGTTGGCAATTTTTTTCTCTTTCTCGCTCTCTGTTCTGTCGTTCGATCTCTCTTCGGCGTGTTTTGTGTCGTGCTACTTTGTGTATGTGTGTGTGTGTGTGTGTGTGTGTGTGTGCTAGCGTCGCCTTTGAAGAAAAAGTATTAGAAATAACTTTATTTGTTTCTGCGTTCGGCTTTATCATCAACTATTTTCCATTCGGTGTGCCAAAGCCCCGAAAGGAAAGTGTTTTCCGAGTCAGTGCACGTCAGAGTGATAATTTTCCTTTGATAACAATGTTGTTCAATTTAAATTTCAATATAAAAACGCTTTGTGCTTAAGCGACGCATAAACACACGTACAAAGTATATGTTTACAAAACTAACGAACGCACCCAACCTCGGCTCTGTCTCGGTCGGTTGTCAATGCCAGGGCGATGATAGATATAGAATGAGCGAGGGACAGATAGAGCGAGTGTGTGTTTGTGTGTGTGTGTGTGTGGGAGCGAGTTGAACGGAAGGCCGATAGTGTGGAGAACAGTTATCAATCACATGGCTGTGTCCGGTTGAGGATGTTCGATGTCCGAGCGATGAAGTTATACGGAGCCAATCTTTCATTTAATTTTCAAACTTGTTCATTCAACACAGTCAAGTGTAAATATTTACCAGTTTCTGAGGTTATCTCAAAATGTATGCTCTCTTGCTTGGGGCTTCCCAATCGCTTTTCTCCTTCATTCTCAATGTGTACAATTCAGTTTACACTTCAGTGAACTTAAATCGTATTCAGTTAATTTTGCGCATTGTTTTTCGGGAGGATGGGGTGGAGGCTACGATTCGGAATCTCTTGCCGCAGTGAATGGTGTGTTTTTGAATTTTCGACATTTGCAAATTGAAACGCAAAATCATCGAGTATCGTTAGCAAATCTTTCTCGCAACAATTCGGCAAAATAAGGAAGTCCCCGGTAAATTCCGTCTGTGTAAACAGCAAAATGTTTCAAAGGTTGAAATTAAAAGGAAATCTTGTGCGTTTGTAATCTGTCTATAACTTGCAATTAGATAAAGTTTTCAATATGGTCGAAATAGTTTGATCATGTGCCAGCCAATATTCATCATCTTATAGACAGAATTTTCCATCCAGGCAAGATGGAACGATTTGTTAATATCGGATCACTTGTTATGCAGCACTACTTGTCGACTACTGGCTGATGCCAAAAAAATCCATATTCATAAGGAAAAAAACCTAGCAAATTTGCTACAAAACCCAGTGAATAGAAGTGATTGCATAGTTAGTATGAGAAACGGTGAAAAATTGAAAAAAAAAACAGCGCTTGTGCAATCAAGCAGGCAGATGATGATAAATATGTACAGTTGAGACACAATTTGTGACAAGTAAAAGCGAATATATATTTTACATAAGTGTTTCGTTCGCGCGAAGCAGCACAATGGTAGCTGGGGAGGTGTGGCGCGACATGTTGACGTGGCAGAATCCCCCTAAATTTAAACACACTTTTATATGTCACAGATTGACAAATATAGATAAATGTTTATGTAGGTAAATGCGTAACGATGAATTTTCCTAACGATGACAACAACAACAGCAGCTACCCTAGCGCTCAACGCCACTCTTTTTCGCATCATTCTTTTTCGTTCACTTCCGTAAGTTTACTACCGGCTTCAATCGCAGTTTTTCGTCTTTCATTCCCATTTTGTGACACATTTTTTTCCTCTCCTCCTTTTATTTCTCGAACAACAGTGAACAATAAAAAAAACGAAGGAACACAAGTACTTTGCCAGAGCTTTTATACAAAAAATACTGTTGATTTTCTTTCATCATTTAAATATTTTTCTTTAGAATTTTGCGTCGAAAATGTCCAAAATACACTCACACCAGCAGATGCAACTCGAAGACGCGGGTATTTATCATTTTTATTGTAGCTATTATTAACGATTCGTGTGCGAAAATTTACGCTTTTGATTTCTTTTGTTTGATCCTGAACGAAGAGGACGAGAAGAAGACAGAGAGAGAGAGAGAGAGAGAGAGAGAGAGAGAGAGAGAGAGAGAGAGAGCGGGAGAGTGAAACATCTTTCATATCTTGATGCTTTTGAAATTTTTGGAAAATTTCACGGGTGCTACGCTGAAAAAGAAAAAACATTTTAATAATATTATACTGAAAGCAGTGTGAGATACAGATCTGCTTTTTTTTCTCCTCTGTATTCTCTCTGGTGCATGTGTGCTGCTGCAAAATAAATGAGAAATTTTCTGCGAAGAAAGAACATCGTTGGTATTTTTGTATTTTATTTTCTTATGAATGGTGTGTTTTGCTATTGCTATAGCTTGAGCGCACAAAGTGTGCCAAACATCCCGTGCACTGTGCTGCGTCACACGATGCGATGAGAAAAAAGAAATTTGCATTTCAATATTGGAGGAGCTGGGGACATTGTGAACGGGAAATAATAGTGTAAAACAATATTTGATAATATATTGAAATCCGTAAGCAATAAAGGTTTCGGAACAGTGCGCGATCACCATAAGCACAATTCCAATTTTTGGTTGTTGTTGCTGTTGCTGCTATGTTCACTTCCGTTCATCTGGAGTGTTACGGAAAAATCCAATATGCTTTTTAGTATTACTTTGCCGTCAATTCCCCGGATACGACACAGCACACCTATGCGAATTCGGTCGACGCTTGATACACAGCAGCACACACTTATTCCTTCTGAGCACATTCACAGCGTATTACATCAATAATAAATATATCTATAGAACGGTCGCGTTATTTCCGAATGCCAAGTCAGCACCATACGCGCTCCACTCGGTAACCGTACCCTGTCTACTCATACTCCCGGCTGCTGATGACAAATATTGTACAATTCATAACAAATAAATGGAATGTCATAAAATAGACAATTTTACTTTGCTCAAAATGTACTGTGTGTACATTACTGGGTATGCCGTTTCTTCCGTATATACATAAATATTACTATACCAATATTTTATGATGAATTATGTAAATTTCGATATTGAACTTTCTCTTCAATGAATTAGAAAACGAAAGATTCTATTGTGTAATCACTTTGTAATGGGAAACTAAATAATTTATAGCTTAATCATGACCATACGCACAATGAATCGATATGCAGATTTTTGCCTACCACTGAATGGAAACCCCACTCGGCTGGATATGGCGCTGAACTAGGCGCGACTAAAAATTGCGTACATCAGCTGAAAATGATTTGGTGGGCGAGCAAGTGAGCAAAAAAGGGGCTTCAGTCGACCGACCAAAAGCTAATTAATCATTCTGTTGCGTTCGTTGAAATGGATGAATGTTTATTTTTATCAGTCAAAGAAACCCACCAGAAAAAAAACAGCAACAACAATTCCATATTTTGATGCTGTCAGCAGTCAAATCAACCGACATCCCAGTTGACTACGCACACACACTCACACACACTCGCCACTAAAACAGTGGCGCGCCGACAAACTCATTAAAAAGCATTAATTATAATCGCACCGACACATCATTTCGGAGTTCGTCGTCGTTTTATTTCACAGCAAAAAGTTAAAATACAAATTATTACATCCCTTGCAGCCAAATGCTTGTTCGAAGAGACGACTTCAATCGGAATTTATTATGTTTACCGATTGTAAAATTGAATATGCCTCACGGCATGGAACTGAGCAATGGTTGGCCGCTGTTATGTGGCTTTTGTTTTGAATTTTAAAATATAATCATCATCATCATGGAATGTCTGTGTAATTCCGATTAAAAGTCAATTTTACTTCAGCCGATTTTGAAAGCATTAGCACCGCCACAGTCGCCGCCGCCGTCATCAACTCAACATCAATTGTGTCGTTGAGAATAAATATGAGATTAGCCTAAACCGCTCGTTTACATGTGAATCATTTTTGTGTTTCTGGTCAAGATACGAGGCAAGTATCTCAAGTAAAGATAAAGATCTTGAAATGTTTCATGATTCACATGTAGACGAGCGGTTTCGACCAATCCCATTTTTATTCCCAACGACACAATTGAAAATGCTTGCCATTTTCTCTCTCTAGACATGATGGAAAATTCAATAAATTCAATAGCAATTAACACTCGTGTCGAGCGCAAATAAAAGACCTTCAAAACAGAGTTATGACGGCTGCCGTAGAGTAAATTTCATTTTCAACCACATCAAATCCGAGTGATTGTGCGTATGTGTGCAATGAAGGCAGTATCAATTTACCAAAAATTTCAATTAAATGTCTATTTTAAAGTTCTTCAATGCGCTTTCGTACTTACCGAATGGCGAAAACTAGCACTAAGCATCCAATCGTTGGAACTATAGTCAACAGAGCGATTATTATTATGGTTTGTATATCGTTCCAGTCTGCAAATAGAATTCAAGTGAAAATAGATTCATCAGAAGCCATAATTAATTATAACCCATGGGTAGAAACAATGAGGATTTTTTCCGCAACAAAGAATGGAAAAACACAGCGAATAAATTAAGACACCGAATCCCGGCGAATAAATTAAGTGACAAAAAGAAAATGAACGGAGGAAAAAATGGTGAAAGTAGGATATAATGAATGACATAAGCACTCGCAATAAGTTTTAAAGGACATTGGCCGAAGGAAGAGCGAGAGTTTGTGTATTTTACAGAGAGCAAAGGCGAGCAGAAGAGGGAACGAATGAGAATGAGAGTGAAAAGAGAAAGAGAGGAGCGATATGAGATGTAGGACGAAATTGCAAAAGAAATAATAAACGAATCCAACTGAGCAAACAAACAAAAGCTTCTTTTCTTTCTTAAGCGCATTGGGCAACAGTGAATCCGTGGAGGTTTCGATCCAGTACATTTTCTTTTGGTGTCATCCATTCCACCATCATCATCATCACTAGATTGTCGCGTGAGTGGTTGGTCGTTTTTCCCTAGCTTTTGTTTCAATACCAAATTCGTATGCTCCTTTTTGTGTGTGCCCAGTGTGATGATTTGACAAGCAATGCAGTAAAATATGTAACTTGATGTGACATGTTTTGGGCAAATTTTTTTCCCCTCGTGGTTCAAAGAAAAGGAAGTAAATCGCGTCATTTTAGGTAATGTATTTTGTGTTGCGTTTGCTTTGCTCTCATCTTCTTGTCTTTCAACTCAAATGAATTTTCGCATTAAGTCATTTTTCTCTCGCTCTTTTTTTTCTCTTTTGCTATTGTCATTTGTCGTGGTGGCACTTTTTCCGCTCCGTTTGTTTGGCGGCTTGCTTTATTTCTTTCTCACATTCCTCCCCGAAACAGAGGAAAATGAAGGAAAAAAAAACAGAACAAAAATGTTGCAAAGAAAATGGCTCACGCATATCACACACACACACACACAACGTAGTAAAACCTCGAACAAGAGCATGAAAAAGAATCACGAAAAAATGGAAACAACAAACGAAATCATGTAAAAAAAGTTTTTTGGGCGCGCGCGTGCCTGAAAAGATGAATGAGAAGGAATTTAAGAGAGAATAAAACAAAGCAACGGCGGCACAATTGCCATATAAAATGGGCCACAATGACAGCAAAATGGCATGTGCCGAAACAAACACACACACACACACACACACACACACACATTTTTGGTGAATACACATGCCAAACCGACATTTTTATTTTGAATTATTGTTTCTATTATTTTGTAGTTTTTCATCGTACGTCTGCATGTTTTTGCTCTTTCTCTCTCTGTGTCGCTATATCGTGTCTGTTGTCTAAGCGTGGCCCCAATTGTTTCACTGTTGTTCTGGCGCTGGCTTTTTGTGCACCATGCGTGCATCATTATTTTATTTGTGCTTTGCATTATTTTCAATGCTGCCTCTGCTGCTGTTGTCATACAACGACCATATTTCGTGTCTATTTTTTTCTGTTTCTTTCTTCTCTAGTGTTCGTCAGTTTTGTGATGCCAATTGTTTTTTTGTGTGTGTCATTGATGCATATGCTACTGATGCTGCTCTGTTATCTCATACAAAAGAAAAGATTCGTCCCGCTATTTGAGTTGAGTGAAACTTTATGTTTGCCAAAGTCATATGGTCTTTCTATCTATCGTTCGCATGCTACTGTTTGCTACATTGAATTGTGTACACACTCTCCCACTCTCTTTGTCTATATTTGTCCCGTTGAATGGCGAAATTGTAAGCATTCATTTTTATTATGAAAATGCTTCTTTTTTTTCTATCGCAACAAAATTGTGTTCGTTTTCGTTTTGATTATTATTTTCGTTCATTCGTTCGACTCGTCGCTTTTCATAAAATTCTATTTCCATTTCTACATTGTACATACGCATCGCGGGAGTTTTGCACAAACAAAACGAGAAAAAAAAACAGGACAATATGCACATTACATAGCACAGTAATATGTGTAGTATGTGTAATACACAGTGAAACACTAGCCGAAAAGGAACAAACAACAAAAAAGTAGAGAATGTCCAAATAAAAATTCGGTTTGTACGGAACAAAGAGAGAGCATGTTCTAAAGTTCGAATGAAGAGAACTGTAAAATGTTCGCTTCAGCGCTACACAGATGTGTGCATATGTGAGTGTATCTGTATAGGAATGGTATTTTAGTTTCTAATAACAGGAAATGGTGTAGTAGTATAGACTCTCAATTCGTATCGTTATCGTGCAAAATGCGAAGTGATAGTGAGAAAGAGAGTGAATTTTGTTGTTTTTTCCGGTTGAAATGGCTGTCAAGTCTCTAGCGATCGTAACACAAACGACATTTGGTCGTTTGCCACATTTTCCATATTTTAAAATGCCATCATTATGGCTTACATTAACAGCGACAATGTTCAGTTTTTCAAACGATATAGACAAACGGAGTTGTTCCGCTGCGATCGCTTGCTTTCACATACACACACGAACACATATGTATATGTGCTTGTGCATACTTTAATGGAATGTTACTTACATCGAACGAACGAACGAACGAACGAACGAGCACTGAAAGCACCAAAATTTGTTCAGAGCAAGAGCTGGAATATATACGTGTGTGGAGGCAAATGAAATTGATTGTGCGAGAGTATGTCGGTGCGGTTTGCCTAGTCGATCTATTACACAATGGCATCACAATCGAAGGAAAAATGGCAAAATGCATCTAGACAGACTGCCATCAAAACAAAAGAAGATGCAAACGGGAAAAAAAGAACCGAATCGGAAATGGAACGAAGGGAGAAGAAGAAGATGAAGAGAATGCGAAAAAAGGGGGAACAACACATGCTCAAGCGAAAAGTTCTTCAATTTATTTTCAATGAACCGAATTACTGTTATAGAGGCATGGGCGCAAATCTCTCGTTCGCAAAAAGTGTTTCTTTCGAGATAGAGAGAGGAAACGAGTGCCATATTCGATTTGTTGTGGTGTTCAGAGAGTGAGGCAGAGACCGAGTGAGTGTGTGAGCTAAATTACACACATTCAATGCTGTGATTTGTTATCGTTTGAGTTTGCAGTGTGCAAAAGGGATTTGAGTTTTCCGATAAAGCGATTTTCCTTCAATTTTCCCCCTCCCCCGACCATGCTGAAGTAATCGAGCTTCGTAGGGATATTTGACATTTTTATAGTCAATCGAAGTGTTTGGTCGGTGAATGTGAGCTGAAGTGCGGGATTGGGGTGGAAAATGGAGATGGAAGTGCAGCCAAAGGGCCAATTAAGAAAGCCAAGCAATGCTTTTAAAGGTGAAAAACGAAAATGGAAAAAATATCGAAATAAATAACTAATTCACTTAAAATGGCTAAATAATGCACCGTAAAATCTAAAAAGCTAGCTTCAATTGAACTTACTTGTTTCGGGATCATCATCCAATATACCGAATGCTGTCACATTAGTTATAGCTTCAGCGGCGGTGGTGGTATTGGTTTTTTGTGTTTCATTTTTGGTGATATCCACTTTGTCTTCGTCGTCGATTAAAGCGATGGCTTCTTCGGAATCGGTTTTCGGTAGTTCGGCGGTGAGCTCTTGAGCTTTCTGCAGATTATCACCGGGATGCGTTGGAAAGTGCGACGAAATGCTATTGCCACTGTTATTCAACTGTATGGCATCGTTTTTGTAATCCAAATCGCGAATGTTGATTTGTGACGGTAGCTCACCGATGATTGGCACACCAATCGATTGCTGTAAATCGGGGATCACAACCGGTTCAATAATAACATTTGACGATATTGCATTGTCACCGTATGAACGTCCATTCTCTTTACTCTCCGACGAAATGTCATTGTTTTGTGAATTCGCATCATTGCCAGCACTTGTGTCATCACTAGTCGCCTCTTTGATATCAATAAATGATTCACCCACATAGCTAATGCTTAGATTTTCATCATTCAATTTGGTTGGATCAAAGTTGCTTTTCATGGGTGACAAAATGATATCCTCTTCGTATTTGTCATTGGGCCCGTCTAACCCAGGATTCCAGCCAGAAGAATTTTTAAAAGGAAAATCGATAATAACGTCTTCTTGAAATAGTGCCGGAAAGTCGGGCCGAAAAAACTGATTCTCCTGCTTTGAATTTGGGGTGGGTACCGATGATTCCACTACTTTCACTTCCGTATTTGAAATATAAAAAATCGTATCCGAGTCACGTGAAATGGTCGATGCTTTGTTCACATCGGTTGTTTGTTGTTTCGAATCTGATGTTACGATCGGGATTGGTGCTGTTATTGTTGGGCCTGAACTATCTGTGTTCGGCCGAACAATAGCCGATTCCGTATTTATTGGAACTGTACTTTGTATTGTAGTTGTTGCGGAAGTCGTAACAACAGCAGCAATAGCAGCAGCGCTAGTAGTTGAAGTGCTGACTGTAACCATGGTGTCCGTTTCCAAATCATCGGCTGGCAAGAAGAATTCATCATTGTTTGCATCGTGTGGTCGTTTTTCTGGTACAACTGTTGACGTTATATCCGCTTTGGGTGTTGACGTTTCCCGAACTATATCAAAAATTTCCTCACTCGATTTATCATAATCCAAAATGCTTGGCGGTCCGGTTGTCGGTTTTGGGTTGCTTTTCATACCATCATTGCGCATAAATTCATTATCAGCTTTATTCATCTCATTACCGTGTGCGTTTGAATGTTTGTTTGAATCATTGTTTGCAGTCACCTTGGTTGCTGCTGCCGTTTCCGTTGCCGTTGCCACTTTTTCTGTGGCCAATTGTTTTTCATTCGGCAAAGTTGTGTCATTTGCTGGTTCTTTTGTTGCCAGTTCTGGTGTGAATGTGGTTGATGTTATTTTTTGGCCCACCGTATCATGATGCTTTTGCTCGGTGCTACTTTTGACTTCAGTTTTTGTCGGTGTTTCAGTTGTGGTCGTTGTCGTCGTTGGTGAGGCAACGGTAGAACTGGGATCCTGTGCATTCAACGTGGATGAAATGTGAGCATCGACGCTGAAAATGCTGGTTGGTGTGAAACTTGTCACATCCGCATTAATCACGGGTTCGGTGCGAATCTCATCAAATATCGGTGAATTACGCGCAATATCATCAGGCAAAGATTCTCCAATAATAGAATGGGATTCCATTGATCTAATGGTCGTTGTTTGAGCAGCAGCAGCAGCAGCAGCTGAGCGCACATCCGTTGCAAATGAAGGAGCTGATGTTGTTGGCTCTTGTACAAATGAAACGCTCTCCCTCAATAAATTATCGTTTAGTTTGCCATTCGGATCGTTGACGCCACCTTCTTTTTCAGCAGTAGCAGAAGCGTCGTCGATGTCTTCGTATTCGTTCGCCTTCGTTTTCGATTTGTCTTTATTATTCTTGTTATTGTATTTTTTATTGTTATTGCTGTTGCTTTCATGCTTTGCTTTTTTACTGCTCGATGATTTTTCTTCATCGAAAACTTTGGTAATTTTTCCACCATTGCCATTATTAGTCTTATCCGTTGCGATTCTACCAACAACACCAACACTGCCATTACTCTCGCTGCTGCTGGCCGTTGTGGATGCGCTTTTAATCAATATGGTAGTTTGTGTTGTCTCTGCATGACCCAATTTACCGTCGACAGCCGCATCAAATGGTTTGCTGTTTTCATTAGTTACGGCAACATCATCACGATCTCTGTCATTGCCATTAGTTTGGACGCTCTCCCCTGTCGATAACGGTTGGTTTGCTTCCGATTGCATATTTGCTGGACCGTTGAAATGCTCCTCTGCGTTCACTCTGAATGACAGTTCATCAATTTCAGTTAATGAAGATATTTTCGGCGTTGTTGGTGTAGCAATGTTATCGCTAGATGACTTTGGAGTGGCCACCATTAAATCGCCCGAAATCGATGATGATTTTGCCGTTGCTGTCTGTACCACATTCTCTGTGGTGAAAACGGTTTCTTGTGTTGGATTTTTATTCCTTTGCAATTGAACATCTGATAAAATGGTTTCGGTGCTACTGTGGGGATGTGGAATGAATGTAGTGGTCGTCACAAGATCTTCACTTTCACCCACCACCAATGGTTCGGTTGTTGACAGTGAGGTCGACGCAACATCAATATTTTTATCGACTGCAGCCGTTGGCTGGGTCTGTGATTCCGATATCGAAATGCTTATCAGCGGAACGGAACGATTGTTTTTATCAAGATAATTATTCGATGAACTAGCGGATGCGGGTATCGTCACCCTCACTGAATCGACGCTTTTTATAGTTGCACCATTTTTATTATATTCAATCGACGATGCTTTGTCATTTGATGGTGTTTTTTCAATCGTTGTTGCGACAACGGATGCTGCTGCCGCCGTCGCATCCAAAGCACTGTCAACGGGGGGCAAAACAACTTTATCATTTATTTTATCCATTTGAATTGTACCATTCAATGTGACTTTCGATGTTGTTGTTATTGTTGTTGGCGGTGCTGGTGACACTGTTGTCGATGGCGGTGATGGTGTTGGTGGTGGTGGAGTTGATGTGGTTTCTGTTTGGCCGTCATTTGAATGGCTTAACGATTTTGCCGTTGGAGCCGCATGATTCAATGGTAGCAATGTCGATAATAACAATGCAATTCCCAGCATCGCCCGTCGATTGAACAAAACTGTGAACAATTTGTTCTCGCTGGCACAATTCATTGTGCTTCTGTGATGGCAACTATTAAAAACTTTTAACTTTTGTCGTTTCATTCTGTCTGCGATTGACAAGTTGGGAAAATAAATGTTTTAAATCACGAACGACAGTGCGTTACGTGAAACGACCGAGCAACAGAACTGGAAAAAAAAAGAAATAAAAAATGAAGTGAACCGCCTCGATGTTCGCCACCCACCGAAGACAATCGATTCCTTGATTTCTGCGTGTTGCAGTGCTATTATTCCCCAGTAATTTCTCAATTGACGTTGAAACGATAACTGTTCCACCAGTTTTCTTTTGCGCGCTATTCTTCTCCCAAATCGCCAATCATAAAAGAGTCGTTTGTGAATTTATTTATTCATTATGGCAATTGCTTTGAATTTGCTTTATATGCGAGTTTCAAGCACTCACTCTCATTCACTCGTTTTGTTTTTTTCTATATCGGACTAGGGTTGCTGTTGTGGTTGCGTTCTATCGTTGTTGGCCGTTATTGTGGAGCTCCTTTTGCATATTTTATATCGGATTATGTTCTACACTTAATGTTTCACATTCGAATCTGTTCTGCTTTCCAATGCAGTATATCGTTCGACTTCTTCTTCTTTTTTCCCCGTTCAACAGTAACGTCGACGATATTTCTTTGCAATTCCGTCCATAAAAACGGAAAAACTTTTGCAACTTTTCTTCGGTTCGTTGTGCGTTGCGTTTGGTCTCGTTCGCCTTTTTCTTTCTCTCTTTCTCTCTATTGAATTCTCATAAAATTTAATTTCCCTCCGTGAATTGTAATCATTGGTATCATCATCATGGTTGCTCCAACCAAAAATGCTACTTTACTAGCCAAAACCTATAAAGATACAAAAAGCGAACAACACATCTAATCAGAAAAATGCTCTTTCATACATAATAATTTACAGCGTTGTGTTAGAACAAGAGAGATAGAGAGAAAGAGACGCTGATCTTGAGCTTGTCTTGATAATTACATTTATTTGAGTTTCTTTGGGCACGGACATTTTGTGCGAAAATTACAACAAGCGCTGCTTGTTTTGTAATTTACATGCGTTTCAAGTATGCGTCGCCTCTTGAAACAATCGTCAAAGTACAGCGGGAAGAAAAATACTAATAATTTTAAGAGCAATTTTTATGCTGATTCTTATGCTATTGCCTGAGGCTATGACGTGCTCCTGCTCCGTACATCAAGTAATTTGAATATTTGTTTCTTTCTTATTTTTTTTACCTTTCTCGTGGCTTCACGTATTTTTCTCGCCTTCAAAACGTCTGCTGCCACTCCAAAATTGCCTGTGCGACAAATCTGCAAATAGAAGAAGAGAAAAGAAATATGACAATATACCAAAATTAGAACAAATCGTTTTGAGACTTCATACCAAATGCTCATGAATATCTTAAGACACACTCACGTCATAATACGGTCATATTTAATGTGATAGATGGAAATACCCAGAAAATACATAACTTTCCGAGAAATGCCATTAAATTTTCTACATATATGTCATTTGCAAAGCGAGTGCAGCTGAGAGTGTGAAGAGAAAATGACAGAAAATTGACAATACATTAATTTTCTAACCAAGTTGTACAGATTTCATCAATTCAATTTTAAGTGAATCGGTAACGAAAATAGTTTGACCGCTTTTCACCCTTGAAGTTTCATTTGCCAGATTAAAACCAGAATAAGACCAGCCAAGTGAGCAAATGCTCACAATCTAACGTACTTTGAAACTTTTATCGCAAACTTTCTTGAGATTCATTGTCGCATCGTTTCAAGTGTGTCGATTATCACTGTGCGTAAGATTTCGCTTAGTGATTTTCCATCTACGTTCATTCATTTAATGCGACAAATTTATGCCGTTTTGAAAACAACCGTAAAGTGTCAAGTGGCCCGTGTAAGTAATACGTATTCGCTTCAAGTCGACACCGCAAAATGCTCATTTCCGGTCGATAAATCATTGAGCTATTTCCGTAGTCGTCGCCTCATCTATTTAGCAAGTGATTAAAGACATGATGCAAATCGCTAAATCATACGGAAACTGTAAGTGTACGTTGAAATTGTTTTCGGTTGCACTGGGTGTGGAGCTTAGTAATTCCGAGAAAAGTTGAAAAAACCACGAAAACAGAATGTTTCAAATACTTTGCATGCCATAAATTCACCGAACAAAAATCCAACTTTTTACCATGAACTAATAAAGCATTTGGTGATCGTGTTGCTGCAATTGTGCCATATTTTTTTATTAAAGCGTTTTAATTTTTTTTCCGAATCGGAGCGGATTCAACTAAAAAAAAGACAAACTAAACAATGCAAATTTCATGGAAAAAGTCGGTTGGATTTTCGAATGTTTGTGTTACCATTTTTTTCACCATCAAAGTTTGTGCGTTGCAGCAGCATCAGTAAAAGCAGCAGAATTTATTTTGGATGTAAAATCCCAGCACTGGCAGTACCAGCAACAACATTGAAATGCCATGCCGTTATACGCTCATGCCGCAGAATATTATTTGTACGAAAGATTTATTTTTCTGAATAACTAAAGCAGATGTTGTTTAATCAAAAGCTTTTACTTTGAATGTGGTGACGGCGGCAACGGCAGCAGAAAAGGAGAGCGACAGAGGGCAAGAGGGTTTTAGGGAAAAAAAAGAGATGAAAAGTAAACGAGATAAGGACAGAATGAATAAAACTGTGAGATGCACAACGAAGTCAAAAATTGCGCAATAAATCGGTCCAACAGCATTCATCGCGGCAAATGTGATGCAAAGAAGAGATAGATAGATAGAGAGAGCTCATCGCCCATGCTATATTCTTCTGATCACTCCATCCATTTTCATTACTCCAAAAAGCGAACGCTCTATACAACCGATATTATAAGGATTATATTCACAACGTATACTTTGTTTTGGGGAGGGATAGACGAGAAAGTGAGAGAGGGATATGCAAAGCAAAACCAAAGCAAAAGCACACTGACTCATAATGAGATTCATAAATTGTAGTTGATGATGTTTTGTGCTTATGCATGTGTTTGTGTTTGTATGCGGTGCCGTTTCGCCTTCACCATCACCATCGTCGTCGTCGTCGTCATTTTAAATGAATTCACTTTGATATAAATAAAAATTTGCGAAAGCGTTCGTTCACATAATTTTTGCGAGTAAATCTGTTTGAGACATTTTTCTAAAGCTTTAAACGCTAGTGTGTGCGTGGATATGGTAAGATAGCAAGCAAGCATTTTCTCGGTATGGCCCAGCAATGGGTGGGCTCGCATTTGGGATTTCCGGTGTGTTTGTGTGGCTGGTTGCTTTGGCACAAATATATATTTCATTTGGTCCTTTTTCTGCCTCCCGATGAAAAGATACATTTGAAGTTTTCTTTTTTGCTTTTGCTTTTAATGTAATTGAGATTTGTAAATCAGTCAACAGTATCTTCTCTTTCACGTGTTTGATTTTTTTGGGTAAATTTGATACTTTGTGCAAACACATAGGATGAAATTAATCAATAATTTTATTTCCGGTGAACGACCCGGATGATAAACAGATTATTCAAATCAAATTTCGTTTTTGTGTGTGTGTTTTTTCTTCGGAACACATAACTGTATTTGTATATTCAGTTGGAAGGCGTGCATGATGCCGACAAACATTTGATGAAATCGAAAAATAAGCTCCGGATGAAAAGACTCGACAATTATACGAGAGATAGAATGGATAAATGTGGGTTTGAGCTCATATATCAGTCATATTTACCATGCAAACAGCGAACATCAATAAATGACGATTAGGCCGAAAGCAAATGTTAAACCCTGGTCAGACCCAACTGTTTGTTAATAACGTGTAATTCAATCTAATTGAATTACTCGGATTAGTTTAACCGACCACAATCAGCAGACACACACACACACACATACACATAAGCGTTGGTTGCGGACCAAACATCCCACCATAAAAGGCATCAGTTTAAACATAATAATGATAATAAATAAGCCAAACAGTGGCTAATAAAAATCATTTGAAAATTTCCACTTTCATGTCGACAACGACGATAACGACAACGATGGATAAGGAGTCTCACAAGCGCTATGCATCTCTTTGTTGTACCGAACTCAAAAATAGAGATAACGCAAAAGAGATGGAAAAAAAGAGGAATGAGAGGAAAAAAAATGAATCACCCCATTCGTTCGTTCATATTCATGGCAACCGGAGAGCATCCATATTTGAGGAAAAATCTCGATAAACATGCACACGGGATGGCAAAAACCGTCGCCGTCTTCGTCGTCCTTGTCTGAATATGGAATATATGTGCACTCGAAACTGTCACCGCAATTGTATTGCTGGAGGCAGTATTCGATGTGGCCAGGATATCCTAAGCTTGTGCTCGCTATTTTTGGTCTAACTGCGCAAAATAACATATGTAGTGTGACTTTCAACGACAGATAAAAACCACATAGAGAGAGAGACACTCGCACTGAGCGAATGCTTGTATATACATGTTCAAATATACAATCAACGCTGAATAAAATATAAGGAACGATTTTTTCCTATTTTGTTGTTCCTTATTTCATAAAAATTCATCTCGGTCAGAACATCAATGGGTTTCTATCTTGATTCGTACGGGTTTTCTCCTTTTTATGTTCAGTTTGTTTTTCACCGACATCCGTTCCATCGAATATACACTCGCTTAAACGGCAACAGATACTGCATTTTATTGTCTGTCGTCTGCAAAACCAAATCGAAACTCCTTCAAGCGCACACACACTCAGTCAACATTAGAGCAAGAGAAGAAATATTGTCATCGTCCAAATTGGATGTGCCGTGCAGATGCAATAATATAATAACAACTTAGTCAATACTGGCTAATGCTCTAATACACATATTCACTTGAAAGACTCTTCGGTGCTCATTCGCTAAGGGATCAACGATCTTGCTTAGATTTACACTTGAAATCATTTCCGTTCGTTTCGCTGGCTCGATTCCTATTCATTTCTCTCTAGCTCCTTTTCAGCTTTTTTTTCTGCTTTTCGCTTGCTTCAACAATTTTCATTTTGTCTTCGCGTTGCGCATCACTCTTCGCACAGGGAGAAAAAAAAATCGTCGTCTCGACGTTTTATTTGAATCGTTAACACTATCATAAACTCGTTTGTTGGAACAGCGCGATGAAATGGGATCATGCATTATTTTGATATTCAATGTGTTGTAAAACGCTGAAATGAAATTGGAACGCAAGAAAGTGTCAGGATTTTGATGGAATGGCAGAGGAGGCGCGCGCACGCACGCATCAACGAGCTCATTTTGGTTCGTCAAACGACAAAAAAAAAGACCGCGCACGCTATGCCGAGCACAGACACACGCAATTTGAATGAATGATGAATTTGCGCGCTGATATGTGCACGGCATATCTTGACAGCCGTTCGGATTTCCCCCAAAAACTTAAGTTGATCCGTTTTGATTTTATACAATGATTCCATACATTTTGTATCTTATTTTTTATTTATTCAATTTTTCACTACGTCGTTTTGCCATGCATATCCGCATGCTGTACACATACACCCACACACAGTCTCAGGCCACAGCTTTTCACAGCAGGCAGCACGATGCTCGATGAACACGGAATAATTTGGGTGTTTTTGATTGCACATAAGTATTTCATATTTTTGAAGGCGAAAATTTATTGCGCTCATCGGCTTATATTCGCTGTGGCAGTACAGAGAGTACACACAAGTGTAAATTACATGCGAAGCATTAGAAGCCAAATAAATTAAAAATGTTTCAAATATAAGCTTCGTCAGTTGCTTGCGGGCATGTTGTGCATGTGCCATAGCCAGAATATGTGTACTGACATTCGTTTGTTCGTTCACATGTTTAACGAACGATAGAGAACTGTTGAAATTGCATTAGCCACATACACTTATATAAGCTGCTTTCGGTTGTGCTTGTGCACACACATAAACTGTTTGTGTATTTGATGATGATCACCGTAACGATGCTATCAAGCTCATGATTCTGGCTCCCGAAACTCCGTCTCTCATTTTAACTGAAACATGAGCCTTTTTGTCTAGGTTTTGTTCTATTTTTCTTCCTCTTGCTCTCTCTACTCCCGATTGCCATTCAAAATATAAAACGGCAAACAAACACACATATTGCGACGAACGTACTCGAAGGAGATTAAAAGTAAATATGAACGATTCGAACTGGCTGCTTTTTAACCTTCTAATGCATACAACCGCCTCTAGAAGGGCAACATTTGAACGCCTGTAGAACGTAAACCGTACATCGGATCAGATTGCTTCGAAGAGAATTTTTATTTGTCAATGTTCTCTC